CATACTCGGCGAAGATTTCTTTTAGAAACATGCAACCACAACACTTAATGCGGCGTCACGTCCAACCACCGCATTTAATGCGCACATGCAAATGCCGATGTCACCTCGATTGAGGTGGCCATCGGCCGTCAGATGTTTGACACGTATTTATTGCCCATAGCATTTATGACTGCTATAAATAATAGCCATTTTCCATTGTAATAGGAAGACAACTGATATATCGAATATATACTCACTCTCTCTCTTACTTGCTCTGATTTCTCTCTTGATATTTCTTATAATATCCCTCGGATAAACTGCCCCCCGGGTATACAATCCATCAAAATGCATAAAATTATTTTTTTTGAAAGAATAAATGTACAAAATTATAAAATTCGTAACGAATAAATAGGTTGGTCAACTTTTAAAATACGTAAAGCAAAAGAAAAAACAAAAAAAAAAGTTAAAACTTAAAAATTAAAAAATTAAAAAAAATGTAAAATAAGATAAAAAAACATTTTGAATCTATTTAAAAATGAGATATTACCCGAAATAGGACTAAAACAGTTTGAAAATTCCAAAATAGGACTGCCATGTTTTTATTCCCAAAATAGGACTAATTACTGTCATGTTTTGGGAGTACCAAACTTCAAACATGGCAGTATTTTCTAAACATGTAAGTAATTAGTCCTATTTTGGGAATAAAAAACATGACATTGCTATTTTGAAATTTTGAAATTGTTTTAGTCCTATTTCGGGAACTTTCTCATTTAAAAATATGTAAAACATGCTAAAAACATTGAAATATTCAAATAAAAATATAAATTTTTAAATATGCAAAAAATGAAACTAAATTTGGTATATCTTTAAATTAAAGGAAAAATTAATTGTAATAATCCCAACTATTGGCGGTCCGCTCATAATAATCTCAACTATCAATTATTTTAGAATAATCCCTACTTTAGGGACCTTCCGCCAATAATGGTCCAACGTGACAGACTATAAATAAATTCCTATAGTTTCTAAAGAGAAATAACAGGTAATCCCTATAAATAATCCCAAATTTTAATTTTTACGCTTAACTTTTATTAAAAATTCACCTGTTAGAGCAAGTAATATGTGGTCATGGACCATTATTGGTGGACGGTACATGTAGTTTGGATTATACAAAAATAATCAATAGTTGAGATTATTGTTAGCGGACCGACAATAGTTGGGATTATTATTTTCAATTTTTCCTAAATTAAATCAAAGTTGAAATATTACTTTTTGTTTCTTTTCATATTTTGTTAATTAAATTTAAAGAAAATAAAAAATGAATTTAAACTTTAAAAAACAAATCAGACAAAATATAGAAAACTTAAATATAAAAATTCAAAAATAAACATATAAAGTTTGAAATTGTTAAAACTATAAATCAAATTATAAACGAAAAGATATAAAATCAGGTAAAAATATTTTGAAACTTTTAAAAAGTATGAGAACTAATTATGAATACTTATGAAAACTATTTTTATTTGTTTAATCAAAATATATACAAAGTATAAAATCTATGAAATTCATATATATATATATATATATATATATATATATATATATATATATAAACATATTTTAAATATTCAAAGAATCTAAAATATTTTTATAAAATACAATAAAATAGAAAATGTAATTTATAAATTTGAAGAGAATCATAAAATTAATGTAAACTGTAAAGAGTGCACAATATGGTCTAAAATATTAAAAACTCGAAAACTAAAAAGTGTGATGAGCCATGAAAAAAATTCAAAAATGAAAAAAGTTTAAAAATTGAATTTTGTAATGTAATGTTGTAGAAATAGTTAAAAAATTAATGATGATTATTATCACCATCATCATCTTAGTGTTACTTTTAATTGCATATTATTTTTGTTGTTTCTTTTTGTCGATCACTTTGATTTCTTTTATTTTTTATTCATGTTTATTGATTTTAATATTCTCATAAATCCAAATTATCATTTTAGGTTATTCATGTTTTTTTATTCCAACGAAGTACGAAAGATAAATATAAACCTGAATAAAGAACATAAGTCAAAACCAATAATAAATAACAATAAACAACATGATGCAACACAAAACAATAAAGTGCAACAAAAAGCAACAATAGGAAACAACAAAAAGAAACAAAAGGCAACACGATGCAACCAAAAGCAACATAATGCAACAAAAAGCAACATGTATGATAGAACCAAAAATACAACATTTAAAAGTTTCAAAAGAAATATGTAGTTGAATCTGTTAATTTAATTTATTACATTTATCTACTCAATATATATTATTTGGCTTCACATTCTTCTTTATCGTTAATCTTCTATAGTCGAATTATAATCTTCATATACTTCTATTATGCGTCTGCAATGATAGTGTGATCAATATGACACAAATTTGGTGTCAATTATTATAAGGAAATAACCCACCTATTACATTGGTGCACCCAGAAACTCAGAATCACGGGGTTCCTACTGTAATGTAATTCTAATTAATAAAAAATTAATAAAAAGAAGAAGTAAAATATTAAAATCGCATAACGTTTCATAGTTAACGTATAGTATACAACAATTTTTAAGATATTCCAATATTTTAAAGAAATGTCCACTATCAACTAGAGCCCGTTTGGTAACACTGAAATCGGCTAAATCGGCCGATTCTACCGAAATTTATGAAGTTCTGACTGAAGTGGCTGTATTAACTGTTTTTGGTGATTATGAAAAATTATATTTAAAATATATTATATTAATAAAATAAAGAAGAAATGATATGAAAAATAGATAAAATGGTCATCTACAAGTCTATAACAACTTCTGTTAATACAGTCTGAAAAGTAACTTCAACCTTAATTTTCTTATTATTACACAATTCAGCACGCAAAATCAAAAGTTACATGTTTGGTTAAAAAGTTAGTTGATAAGCTTGATAAGCCGAAAAACAGAGTCACTAAACGGGCACTAAAATTTTATAAAGTTAATGTCCTCTATCAACAAAAAATAATCGGCTTGCATATGAGAAATCAAATTTAAAAAGCCTACATTTGAAAATTTCGATCCAATTACTTTGCATTATTTTATTTGGATTTTTATTTAAAATATATTCATTAGCTTTGTTTCTATTTTAATTTAATACAATTACCAATTTATTTGTGTAACTTTAAGGACTTTGTTATAGGACTGATTTTAGTCTTAGATCAAACCACATCAAGCCAAATTATGCGATTATGGCTCAAGCGACCGAATCTGCTATATTCGGAAAGAATGATACTTAAATTATATGTTATAAGATATGAATAAAGTCATATGAAAAAGTGGCTAAGATGATGCTCTACGGTAACTTCAGTCATCTCGCCGAAAAAATGTTTTTAACTTGCTTATTTTAATTATTACAAATTCAGTGCGTGAATTCAAGAATTACGCCAAATAATGCGATTATGGCTCAAGCGACTGAATATGCTATATTAGGAAAGAATGATATTTAAATTCTATGTTATAAGATATGAAAAAAGTCATGAAAAAGTGGTTAAGATGATGCTCTACGGTAACTTCAATCATCTGGTCGAAAAAATGCTTTTAACTTGTTTATTTTAATTATTACAAATTCAGTGCGTGAATTCAAGAATTACGTATTTCATAACGAAATTATTTTATAAAACAGATAAGCTGAAATTTGGAGATACATACTGACTTTACAGTAGTATTTCTTATGAAAATAATTGGGCATAGGTTGAGAAAATTAGATGCTTTGCAGTAGTATTTCTTAGGGGGGAAATGGGCATAGGTTGAGAAAATTAGATTAAAAGTTGGACAATAGAGGTGCATGATAATAATATGTGGTTGTTCCATAATTTTATTTTCAAAAAAAGTAGACACCTGGGGGAGTCGATACTCGGACCTCCACACGTATAAACACTAAGGATCGGGCCTCCTACCGCTGCTCTAGCTCCATATTTGTGTTCTAATCTAGTTTCGATTTTATAAATAGAATGATTACTTAATTTATATAAAATATATACAAATATATATAGATATTTTTTTGGAGGTCCATGGGGTACCAGGACTCCGTGGGACCTTTAGTGGGTCCGCCACTGATTACAGTCCAAGTAAAAATGCTCAAATGCATACCTGCAAATCTCAAATGAACAATAACTTTATGAGAATCAGAAGTCATTTAATATTGGAATAAAGCGTAACTCTATGAATTACAACAAAATTGAAGTGATAGTAAAATGCTCAAATGCATACCTGCAAATCTCAGAAAGCAGTGACGTCAGGCAGAGATTCAGCGAGCGGCGGATGGCGGAGACCGGAGAGCACTAGCGGAGCGCGGAGACCTGAGAGCGAGGGAGGAGACCGGAGAGCACATAGCGGAAGGGGAACAACGGCAAACGTTCCATTTTTCTACTTGCGGGTCGAGGAATTCAGCCAAGCCTAAGTAGGAGCTTTCATACAATCTAAACAAACCTTAACTTGATTCTTGATTTAATAAAGAAAGAGGAATGATGAATTCAAATATAATTTGGGGTTACAACATTGTTGTTGGCTAAAACCAAAATATGAACAACAATCTTAAGAGCGCACACATAAAGTTCAAAGATTACATATGAACATAGAACCTCCAGACAATTAATGGTTTAAATCCCATATAAAGTTTCTCATTTTCATTTTAGGAAACAATTAACAATCTTATGTGACAAATTAATCATTAAATATTAAAAATAATACATTTATAATATCACCATTATCGATACTAACAACGTTATAATATATATCTATTAAAATTATTTTTCAAAATACACTCGAAATATTTTATTTAATTATTGCCTAAATATATTCAAAATTATTTTATTCTAAGGTAATATTACGTAAACATTTATGGAGTCATCACTCACAACTTTAATTTAAAAAAAAAAAAATTTAATTTAAAAAAAAAGAGAGCATCATACTAAGGTCTATCTTATCTTCTTCATGAAGAAATGTCAGTGTGTATTTCAGGTAGCTAAATTCAGACGCAATTTTGCTGTTATCTTCTCTACGCCTTATTCGTACATGGTAAGTAGTACGGTGTAGTATTATTATTGCTATATCCAGGGGACGCAAGAAGAGAGAATTAGCTATCAAATTCCTTGCCCAATTTCTGCTAATCGTACGCAGTAAGTAGTCTTCAGGTGCTCTGTACTCTCTGCAACCATGGGCGATCCGACTAGGCCGCCGCCCGTCACCGGCTACCCTGCCCATCCACCCAACGGTTACCCCCCTCCTCCCGCCGGCACGGCCTACCCATATGCACAGCCCAGCACGGCCTTCACATATCCACAGCCCGGTAATTACTACATCAACAATACCGATGTTTACACGAATCCGCGCCGCATCTTCCTCCGACGCGTACTGCTCGTGCTCGTGGCCTGCTTCGTCATCGCTATGGTTGTTGGCATGGTCCTCTGGGTCATCTTCCGTCCCAAAGTCCCCGAGGTCAGAGTCGATTCGCTTTCGGTTTCCAATTTCAACCTCTCTAGCAACTTCCTCTCAGCGAATTGGGACTTAAAGTTCACGGTTCGAAACCCTACTAAGAGGTTCAGTCTCTACTATGACGATATTTATGCCTCAGTTTATTACGGCCACTCGATGCTGCTTGCTTGGACCAGTGTGGCGCCCTTTTCTCAGGATTCGTATAGGGAGACAGCCTCCAAGGCGACATTTTCTGCCGCATCAACGTTTGTGGACAATTGGGTTGTGGAAGGGATCAACAAGGCGAACCCCACTGTTGAATTTGATGTCCTTATGCTGGCTAGGGTTAGGTTCAAGGCCGGTTCATGGAGGGCAAGGGGGAGGTATCTGAGAGCATATTGTCGGGATTTGAATGTGCGACTTGGAAACCATACGGTATTAACCCTTCAACTAGTCTGCGTTAAATATAACCCTTCCCATCATCTTACCTTCCCATGTCCTTCCATTGCAGGCACACAGTTTATCCTCTGGCAACTTGGTAGGAGGCCCAAAGCAGTGCCAAGTGAGGCTTTCATGATGGTTTGATTGCTCTTTCAGGTGAATTTTATCCACTGTGACCTTTCCTTTGAAAACTCTGTTATTCAATTAGTTATGCCGAAATGTATTGCTTGTCGTTATCATTAGGAGGGAAAATATCATGTAGTTAGTGGATAGTGGTGATTAAATTTAGGCAAATTATGATTGGTATGTGCCACATACATTTTCCTATTCATGTTGGTTTCATGATTTGCTTCCAAATTGCCCATTGGTTTACTGTAAATGTCATGTGATTGTTAATCTTGTAATCTAGAAACTTGCTGTAAATTATGATGAATAATGACAAATATATGACTGAAATAAAGGTAGTGGACAAAAAACTCAATCAGACAATCACTATTGTGACTATGCATAGTAACTATAGTAATATTTTAGTAATACTTCAGGAAAAAACCAATTATGATATTCAGCAGAAAGATCAGTACTGTTGTAGTCGATATAGTGTGTATCTTTCATCACACTTCATCACCGATTCATCAAATCAAATGTAAACTGTAGAGCTTTTTAAGTAATGACTTGAGTTGAGTGAATGGACCTTTTTTCGAAAAGGTACCGAGTGTTTTCTTTTTTAAGCAAAAAAACACTTTACAGCTAAAAGATAGAGAAATATTAAATTCAAGCCCCAAAATCTCAAAGCTGTATTTAGGGATTAGAGGTGACATTGCTCTTACTTCTTCAATAATTGTATTTTAAAACATGTTAAGCACTACTTTCTTAGTGATAAGTGCTTTTGTGTTGAAAAAAATTGTGAGTCATTAAGGATAGGGGTAATTTGAGTTTGCACCCCATTTTATTGTCCAAATTGGACTTTGCACCCCATTTTAAAAAATCTTTGTTTTTGCACCCCAATCCCCATATGAAAAAACAAAAATGACCTCAACCAAGAATATGTTGAAGACCAACAAAATTGTTAATGGAGGGGCATTTTTGTCTTTTCATATGGAGTTGGGGTGCAAAAACAAAGTTTTTTAAAAACGGGGTGCAAAGTCCAATTTGCACAATAAAATGGGGCGCAAACTCAAATTACCCCTTAATGATATGTTTGGCAACACTTGCTGTAAAGATACTTTTGTAAGCTTTTTAGTAACTATTACTCCGTAGCTTTTAGTGACGGTAAAGATCTTAAAAGAAAAAGGTTGAAGCTATTCAATAAAAAGCCGACGGTTTGATATAGTTTTGTTTGGTATAACAAGATTTTGTGATTAATTAATGCTAAAAGCTACGGTCTTTTTCCAGATTCTACTGTGTGTAGTTTCTAAAAAAAATCTTAAATTTTTAGAAAAGCCCTTAAGATTTGTTGTGTCGAGCATACAACTATGAACTTTCAGAGACTTTTTAAATAGTAAATAGGTGATGGTTTGATATAGTTATGTTTAGTATAACAAGCTTTTGTGATAATTAATGCTAAAAGCTTTTTATGTAGTTTCTAAAAAAAGATATTAATTTTTTCGAAAAGCTCTAAAAAATTGTTCTGTCAAACTTACAACTACGAACTTTTAGAGACTTTTTAAATAGTACAAAAGCTAGAAGCTAGGGACTTATGCCTACCAAACATGCACTAACACCCTTTGCCATGATAGCTCTTCCACAAAAAAAAAACTGAAACTAATCACCCAACCTTCAACATGTATTTTTTGTGAAACAAATTTAGAAATTGGAATAAATTAGAAAAGAGCACTTTGTTTAAATGCAAACTGAAACTGTCATATGCCATACAAAGATATAACAAAATAGAGAAGCATACATGTACAAAGATGCAACCGATAGAAACATTATATATTGTTAACATCATAAGAAACCTAAAAACATTTTAAAATAAAAGAGAAGCAATGCACTAGAAGATGAAAGTGAAAAACTGAGCCATGTCTTCAGGAAAGCCTCATATGGCGGTAACTGGGTCCGTTATGTGGTGTGGGGAATCACAGCCGCTTCACCAACTCTTTCTCATATTTTCCTCTCTTTGGGATGCTCTTTTTCAAATCAGGATATAAAAAATCATTGCTTGTAGAAATTTTTAAATGTCTTTGGGGTGGAGGGGGTCGTCCACGCCTCCAAGGAATTACTTGGATTTTTAGAAGTTCATGGAATTTAAAAGCATGGGTGTATTAATAAAGACTTTAAACAATCTTTAAAAGTTCAGTTGTATTCATTTAGGATGCTCACAACTATTTATGAATACACAAAAGTTGAGGCGTATTATGTCAAGGATTTTACATATGAATAAAAATTTTGGGGTATACATACTAGCAAAGTAGCAATGATACTAGTGGAGTTTGAAAGTCATATACAGCTGTGGCCTTTGTCATGTTAATTATGATTAGCAATCGCCATTATTTTTTACCCATGAGCTATGGTGCATTGAAACGGAGTAAACATTAAACATGGAACCCCATCTTTTAATAGAAAGTGTTTGTAAAGTTTTAAAGAGTCCCTGATGAGTTTCCGAGATGAAAATTTACGCATTCCTAAGTGCTTTACACTTTTACAGCTCATGAGAACAAAGATTTTTAGTTTTGAAAAATCTATAAGCAGACTTACTCACAAAACACATACCATGCACTGTTGTCAGAACCAGCTTTTACATTTTGACACAAAAACTGATCATTTAACTAGGCATGTATTTAGTATGGTTCGAAGAAATGATTTTATTGTCTATGGTGTTCTCTTTGTGTTACTGGGCTATTCAATTTATTCATAGTGTCTATCATTTTGTAAAATCTAATTTAATATTCACTGCCTTCATAGAACTTATTATGTGATCGGAGTCGGCTCTTTATCTCTGGATAAGTCGTGAATTTATTATCCGGTTAGCTTGGAAAGTGTTCAAAAATGGAAGCGTTTGTTGTGAAAGTATGAGTTCGAGTTGCCAAATGTATTATATGGGAAGAAACTTCATATATGCAAATTCTTATATTCATAGCAAGTAGTAGTCTAGTACAACCTCGTAGTTGGAGCAAGCAGAATGAAGTGCATATGTCAAATTCTTATATTGGTAGCAAGTAGTAGTCTAGTGCAGCCTCCTAGTTGGAGCAACCAGAATGAAGTGCATATATGAAGTAGCTTAAATGTATCGATTAATGGTATTGTTTTATCTAAAGACATGCTCACATGCTTCATGCAGGAGAAATTAGGGTTTCATAATCCTACGGTGTATGTTTTAGTGCATGTTTGATAGCCCTGCCTTTAAGCTTTTGTACTATTTAAAATGTCAATATTTCCGGTTGTTCATTTGGCTCAAAATTTTTTAAGTTTTTTCCCTTAAATAAAAGATCTTTTTAAAAGTTGTTGTGACTAATTAATGCTAAAAGTGATTACTAATTAATGATAAAAGCTATAGACTTTCTTTTGGAAGCTGCTCATTGTAGCTTCTCCGAGAGAATGTCTATAACTTTTAGCATCAATTCGTCACAATAGCTTGTTACATCAAACAAGACTAAATCAAGACGTCACCTTTTTTATTAAAAATGTGCAATCTTTTTTGTTTTTTAAAATCTTATCAGTCACTAAAAGCTAACGATTACTAAAAAACTCACATAAGTTATCTTTTCAGCTAGTTGTGTCAAACATACCCTCACATAAGTTATCTTTTTAAATATGTTACACACTTACGGAAAGAAAACTATGAAGGATATTTCCAAACACGCTTCTTCTAGAATCTTTTGCATTTTTGCATATATTCTTACACTTGATGTCTGTCCTTGGTTTCTGTACTTAAATTTCTTTCTGGTGTGTGGCTAATTACATATTTTGATATTTTGTTTCAGTAACGTTCTGCCGAAGGTTTCTTGCTGAGCCTAAGAGCCTTCTTTCAATACATCGCCATCCTATAGTGAAATGTGGGGATCTGTTTTCAATGAGTTTTTTTACATTTATCCCACTCTTGTGTAGCTGTGGGTGCTTTGACATAGGTATGTATACTAACTAGATAATAGGTGCAGCAGTTGAGACTTGAGACACCAATAGCAGGTGATGAACTACTATATATTTTTTCTTAAATACTCATTTTGACAAGCTGGAGTTTAGATGTTAAGAAATTCCTTCCAGCATCTATCTTAAAATGCCAATGCTTGAAATTTTATGTTCCTATAATTGGGACAGACACGGGCTGATTCTGGATGGACCCAGCCCCGGTCCGGGTCTCTTTCCCCTAAAATGGGATGATCCGGGATTCCGGGTACCGGTCCCGTCTACCTAGACTAGCCCAGCCCAATTCCAAAACCAACTATTTTTTAATCTGTATAACTGTGTGACTGACAGGGGAAGGCTTACCCACACCATTGTGGTGGGTCCCTTCTTCAGACAGTCACCTTGTGGGATGTCTTCATGCACCAGGGCAGGATACCCTAATATAAATTTCTCTTAAAATATACTTCCTCTGTCCCGCTAACAATGAGACACGAGGGAGTGACACGCAAATCAATAAAAAGTGATTTATGTGGTTGATATTGAATTGATAAAGTAAGAATAAAGTGAGAATGATTTAGAGCCACACAAACTTTGCCAAATTTGGTATGAGACAATCTTAGTGGGACGGGCCGATAAGGTAAAACGGGACAATCATAGCGGAACGGAGGTAGTAGCTACCTACGTCCCTAATTTTTCTTCCATCGTACAAATGACACGATAATTAGATGAATATTGTGTGGTGGAGAGTTGTGCAGAGAAGAAAAAATGTGTAAGAATTGATGTATATCACAAATTCTTTACCAAAAAATGAAAGTAAAAGTTTCTTTTGGGATCCCAAAAAAGGAAAGTTTGAAGTTTTTTCAGGGAGGGACGGATGGAGTATATAATAACCCATTTTTATAATTAAATATATATGTGTATATATGAATACATGATATACAATTCTATGCCTTACATTTGACTAGGGATGGCCTGGATCGGGACCGGGTCCAGGTTGGGCCTTGGGCAGTATTGGACTTGGGAGTTGGAGGCCCGGTACCGGCCCGAGTCGGTACATATAGATTTTTTTTAAATTTTGTTTTTCTGATTTATTCTAACCCCCCCCCCCCCCCCAGACACCCCCAAACCACCTAGCGCAACCCGCCTACCACCCAATCCATTCGGAAAAAAAAATCCGGCCTAGACCGGTCCCGGACCGGCCGGGTCGGTTCCAAGACAAGTGCAACCCGTAACCTGCCCCCAAAACCCCCGGGGTTGGCCCAACACTCGGTCCTGATCCCGGTCACAGTGGCAGTCTGGTTCCGGTACCAGGCCGATTCGACCGGTCCTGATCCATCCTTACATTTGACATGCCACTAAGATTGAGATGATAAGTTACATGGTTATGTTCAAATTGTAAAGTATAAATAAATCATAAGAATAGAACTCACTTAGTGAATATGGTATGTGATAAACTTAGTGTCAATAAGCAAAAAAGAATGGGACACTATCACACTAATAATGAGAGGTATAAATTATAATACAAGGTTACTCTCCATTCATGGTAGGGGTGGACTCGGGTCCGGGCCGGGTCCGGGTCGGGCCTAGGCCCGGGCGGGCCGGCGGTTCAGAAATGGTGGACCCGAGACCGGCCCGGGTAACCGCCGGGTCCGGTCCGGGTCCGGGCCGGGCCCATTATAATTTTTTTTTGTTTTCCTCTTCCTAATTAACCCCCCTCCCACCCCCAACCCCCCAAACCACCCCAAATGGCCCAAAATACCCAGCCCAACCTGAAAATTTTAAAAAAATTGAAAAAAAATAGGTTTTGGCCCGAACCGGGCTCGGGCCCGGCCGGGTCAGGCCTTGTTTTGGGTGACCCGAGCCCGGACCGGAAAACCCACGGGCCGGGCCTACCCGGACCGGTCACTGACCGGGCCATCGGGTCGGGCTGGGCCGGAACAGTATCGGTCCCGGGCCGGTTCCGGGTCGGGCCACCCGACTCGAGTCCACCCCTAATTCATGGTGTTATAGGGAGGGGTGTTTGTTGTTTGTACTTCGGGTTATTTTCTTCTTATTTTTCGTTTCTTCTTCCTCTTTTTGTTTCTTTTTTCTTCTTTTCCCTTTTCACCTTTTCTTTGCATTCTCCTTGTAATTTTCATCAATAAAATTTTTCTATTTGCCAAAAAAGGATACTCTCGTTATTTCGTCTTTTATTTTTTGTATGTTCTTCATCTCTTTTATCTTTTATCTATCTCATGTTCTTATGTAATTTAATATGTTATCCATTTTATCTTAACTTATTGTTTTTATTTTTCTTATCTTTCTTTTCCTTCCTTTTCTTATCTTTCCTTTCTTTTTTTGTTATGATATCATGGATCAATTCATGTTAGCAGACTCCAAAATTTTTTCCAAAATCTTTTGGGAATAAGGCTTGGTTATTGTTTTGCTACTGCCAAAAAAGGATACTCTTCATTCAATTTGACTTTGTTAGCTTAGTGTTCAAATATTACACATAATCATCGTTCGCGCTTTGCTTTTGGGTATGATTTCTTTATTGAATTCATTTTTTACATTTTGTGATTCAGTTGCATTTTTGGCGGTATCTACAATTTAATACTCATTATTCAGATTTCAAGGTCTGAACTTTTGCCGTCTTGACGCGTTCCTTGCCCACGTAGAGTCTTAAGGGAGTCCCAAGCCTCCTTCGCCGATTTCTTCTCCGCTAGTGACAGGAGCACCTCTTCCGGAATGCCTTGATATATGGCTGCCATAGCCATTTTATCCTTCCGATCATCTATTTTGGCTCTCGGATCAGCGGGTTCAATAGCATCCCAAACATCTCGGACTTGCATGAAAACTTTCATCTTGATGGACCAAGTTGTGTAGTTCTTCACAAGCATTGGGTAGTGAAGGGTGACCGATCCCTCCTTCGTGGTGGCCCCATCAATGGCTGTGTGTTGAGGCATGTATTTTGGCATTCACTTCAACACCAAAGCTCTGATACCAAATGTTGTATACAACCCAAGATTTCTGCAAACTGAAAAATGCAATTTGAAGGAATAATCTCACTGAGGCATTTAATCAAACAGTTTCAATGCAAGAAGAAAAGCTCTCTTTTTATATAGGAATGGAACAACCGAACTCTCTATATTAATCAGTATAAAATGCATATATAAATAGATGTAAAATAGGCAGTTAACTAAGCTACTTTTCTGCCAGACCACTACTCCACTTCATAACAACATGCTAAAACTATGAAGTTGCCTAAAGAATAGGTAAAACATAACTGAAACATTATTTGATAAAAGATTAAATATCAAATATTAAAAACTGAAATGTAGGAGGATTAACTACAACAATCTCCCCCTTAATCCCCCAGCAGTAGTGATCTCTCTAACTCCGAGCAGCCTGTGCATTTCTTCAAACTTTACTCTAGCTAAAGCCTTGGTAAGTATATCAGCATTTTTTTCCTGAGTGTGAACCTGTTGCACCACAATTTCTCCCCTCTCCACACATTCACGCATGAAGTGAAAACGAATATCAATATGCTTGCTCCTTTCGTGGAACAATGGATTCTTCATTAGTGTAATTGCAGACTTGTTATCTACATAAACTATGACGGGATCAATCTTTTTAAATACCAAATCACTCAGTAACCCACGTAGCCATATGCCCTGGCAAGCTGCTGCAGTGGCAGGCATAAATTCAACTTCACATGAGGACAATGCAACACTTCGCTGCTTTTGCGAGGCCCAAGTAACAAGGTTGTTATTGAGGTAGAAAGTCATCCCACCGGTGCTCTTCCTACCCTCAATATCCCCGACCAAATTACTATCTGAAAGGAGGCTCAAATCGGACATTATGGTTTCATAAGAATCTCATATTGGACACTAAGGTTTCAAATGGATCAAATTAGACACTATGGTTACATATATATCTCATATTGGACACTAAAGTTTCATGATTCATAGTTTTTGGACACTCACTTATATTGGATAAAGATCAAATTGGACACTCACTTATATTGAATTATGAAACTTTAGTGTCCAATATGAGATACATATGAAACCATAGTGTCTAATTTGGTCCATTTGAAACCTTAATGTCCAATATGAGATTCTGATGAAACTATAGTGTCTAATTTGAGCCTTATCCCCTATCTGAAAACTCGAGGATTACTTCTTTTCCAACTTCCTTTAAGTACACAAGTCTGAGACTGATTGTACCTTTAACATACCTTAAGATATGCTTCACTGCCTGATGATGTAATATAGTAGGTTTCTCCATATACCTACTCATTACTCCAACTGCATAAGTCAGGTCGGGGCGAGTGTGAGTTAAGTACCTTAAGCTGCCAACAATACTTTTGAATTGAGTTGCATCCACAGGTTGTCCTTCTTCATCTTTGCACAACTGAAGCTTCAGTTCCATAGGATATTTGGAAGAGTTATAGTCTAACATATGACGTGAGTTTTCTCGCACTTAAAAAGGTTGTAGCAAAGTGGTTGAAAGTACGAGTATCGTCTCCACAGGGACGGACAAAAGGAATTAATGATTAACTAAATTCAGCGATTAAAAAGAAATAAAATAAAATAAAATGCAATTGTGCGAGATTGGGTGGTTTGGAAAATAAATTAATGCGAATGAGCGAATAAAAATAATTGATTAGGTTCTTCTTAATTAACGATGAAGGGAGCAAGGATTGATTCCAGGGTAATTAGATTTCTGGCAGATCACGCTTAATTACATGAAATTAATTTAATTGAGCCTAGCTAATCAATACTAAGTTCTTACCGCTCTCGCGGCGTAGAGTACAATAATTTAGGGGACCAGACTGATCTCTCATGCGACAAGATCCTAAATTATTGCCAAAATGAGCGAGCTTATGACCACTTAATCGTTACTAATCTCTTAGCGAATGATTAAGTGTGTGTGAATGTGTCCTAGCATAAATTAGATCTTTCTTAATTTATTCTACAAGCAACTGTAATTCTAGCCACGGTTCCAGGTTACAAAAGATAGCAGTTAAATTGTTCAAACACAAATTAAATGACATTCATGCAATTAACTCATCATAAATCTAGCCATACATCATGATTAACCTCTTCATCAATCCCAAATCCCTAATTAAAACTACTCTGATGGATAGTGTACCCGGTGGGTAGCTTATACGAGGGGTTATTACGGGAATA